TATTGATTGGGGATTTCCAACAAATCCTCCCCATCATTTTACATGGCTCCCGATCATTTACTGTCGCCAGATGCATTAACAAACATCCTTTGTGGCGTGACATGCATGTCCTTATACTGACAACAAATAAGAGATCTTCCTCAAGAACAAGATTTCGCCAAATGGCTCTTCGATGTAGGAGACGAAAAAATGGAAGATTTATAAAATTACTTTCATATTGATTTCCTGTTAATTCCAATCCCGTTCAACAACTATATGGCGACATCGACTTGTCAACTGTCACTCCGGAAAATTCAGTACTTGAGCTATATTAAGCGTCAACAACAAAGACTCCCTACATCTTAATGAATAAGTCTTGAAACTTATCCATACCGACGAAGTAACTTTCACCAGTGTTGACTCCATCGTCACAGAGGATCCCGCAGATCAACTGTCATTCCCCGAAGAATTTCTTAACAGCCTTACTCCCACTGACATGCCTCCCCATCAATTCAAAATTAAAATTGGTTCAGTTGTCATGCTTCTCAGAAACCTCATGCCTGCAAGAGTTCTCTGTAATAGCACTAGACTGACTGTTACAAACATTCACAGCAATGTGCTAGAGTGTCGAACTATTGCAGCTGCTACCGCAAAAACTGTCCTTATTTCCCGGATTTCCCTCACAACATCAGATTCAAATTTACCTTTTACTTTTACATGGCGACAATTTCCTCTTATATCATCCTTTGCAATAACAATTAATAAGGCACAGAGACAAACTTTCAAAAAAATATGCCTCTATCTACCAAAACCGGTCTTCAGTCACGGACAGTTGTATATATCTCTCTCTAGAGTTCCATCTTTTCACGCAATCACAGTTGTATCCTCAAACCCACCTCGTTTGGACAACTGTGTCTTTCACAAAGTCTTCACTCATCTATGAGCAATTCTGCAACGCATGCTACGTCGCGGGTCGACTAGTTTATATATAATCCGCTCAATTCTTATGGCAGACCCTATCACAAATGAGATTTTCAGAAAACCTCCTCTTTTCGCTTTCCAGAGGGACAAGAGCCTTAGGGACGCGCTAGTTAGAAGCCACCTCCCTGCTATTAAAGCACATAAAGGCACCAAAAGTTGCAGCCATAGCCATTGTAACACATGTCCCTACGTGATTGAAGTTGATAAGATCACTTTCCCTCTGGAAATATTCAGAATAAAAGATGGCTTTATGTGCACAAGTCCCAATGTGATTTACACCATCCTTTGTAAAAAGTGTGGTAAATTATATGTAGGAGAGACTGGTTGTCGCCTCGGAGACCGATTTTGAGAACACCGCTATAACATAAATAAACAAGCTCTCTGTCCGATCTCCAAAAATTTCAATAGCACTAACCATGAGGGAATTTTAGACAAGGCCGTTACCGTATACTAGTAACACACCGGATAGGATCTAAATGGAGAATAAATTAACAAGATTTATGTTGAATCCATATGGGATAAACCAAATCCACAATTTAATGTAGCTGCTATGCCTTTTTCCTGTTTGTTTTTTTACATTTTACGTCAAATCACTTCCTTTCTATTCTTCTTTACTTTGTTTCTGTCTGGTTTTTGCATCCACTCTTTTTTTTTTCTTTTTTTAGGTAGGATGGATACATATATATGTTATGGGGCTGATCTGTCTTAGCTTTAGCTTACTTCACACTTAGATATATAGTTTATTTTACAAATTGGCAATAGACTATAGGGGCCCTATTAATCAAGCTTTTTATTTATGTAAGAGCAATGAGTATTCTGTGATATAAGAAATTGACATTAAAACAGACTTAGTACTCTAACAATTTTGGTGTTTCATATACAATTTTGAGATGTCTTTTAAGATTGTATGCCAAGACCTGTCAGAACTATGGTTTTAAGAGACTTGGTTTAAAAAATATATTCTGGTTGTTTTTATTATTTTTTAGTTTTCTCCTCTCTGCATCCAGTAGTGAGTGGACTGAGAAATACCCTTGATAGGGGATCTCAAGTAATCTCAATAAAAATTATAGAGCAATTTTACTATTTAGTAACTACTAAAATTAAAGGATTTATATAACCCCATCTAGGTAAATGGAACCTAATTTTCCACCAGCTTTTCTTTAGTTCTCCAATTAAGTGTAAAATAGTGAAAAGCTAAATTTGGTTACACACAAAAGGGCACTCCATCTCCTTGCCTCTCCTTACTATTAGGATATGGAATTTTGCGTTTTTGAGATGGTAAAGTACTATACTGAAATAATAATGTACTATTTTGGTAGTCACAGGGTAACCAGGTCTGTTAAAATTGTGACTAATAGTAATATGCCTACTAAAATCCTGCTGATTAAGCCTCATTTTATATGTTTGGGTGTGTATTTTTTAATACAAATCTTTCAAAAGCTCTTTTTAAAGGTTAGCCTTTCCTAAAACCGAAAAACATTGATAAAAAAACTAGTGTGTTTTAAATGAAAAAAATATATCGTCCATTTAAAGATTTTTTTTGTATCTAATTCAGTTATTTATCTCAAATGGAACACATGCCTCACCTTTAAGAATGTTAGGTTTAAGGCAGTAAGGGCTAGACCACGAATGCCATATGTATATGCTTTAATTAAAAAAATTATATTTTTTACTAATGTTTACTTCTTTTTCTTATAACAGCTATTATTATAAAATATTAACCTAGATCTATCTCTCATCTGAATGGTTCAAAACTAATGTTAACAGCTATTATTATAAAATATTAACCTATCTCTCACCTGAATGGTTTAGAGTGCTAGTACTGCAGTGGGTTTCTTTTTTTAATATCTGTTTAACTAAGAATACCACAATTTTAAGGGTTAAAACTGGGACCTATGGGAATATGTATATTTTATAGCATTTCTAGGAAGGTCGCAGGCTCTGGCAGCTTTTTGATTATTGTTTATTACCAATATTATGTTATAGTAGAAGTGTTATAGAGCACAATTTAGGAGTTCACTGCAGATTGCATTTAGTCTAAGGTACTCAACTGGGAACCATGCTGGGTCTGAAAAGCCACATTGTATGTGATGGGTATTTTGAGAGGAGAAAGACTATTCATATTTCTCCCTTGAATCAACTTTCTTGGTGGTAATGTCTTTTTGTCCAATAGAAGATTACTGACTGTAAATGCTAGCATGTTACTTCTTCTCATAGGAGGTGTAGTGAGGGTTCATAGGTTACAGGCGGAACATTTGGCCCAGGTCTCATTCAAAAAAGGCATAAAATTTACACATAGATTTATCTTTGAACAAATGGGTGCTCAGTAATACAAGCTTAGAACTTGACAGTCTTTACACATGTGATTTTAACTTGGTTACAAAACTATGGAGTTTGATACCAACCAAGTTGTGGTAGTAGCTGTGTGTACATCAATATCTAACATAGACATAAAACTTAAATTTCTACCTAACTGTAACAAGAACAAATTTCACTGAGACAAGGCTGATAAACCCTTGACAATATCTGCCAAACCAGGACTTATGGCAAGCCATACAGCTTAATTGCTGACCATTGGCATATTATTTATTTGTTCTGATACTGTTATTTTTATTTTCATTTGATTTTGCTGTATGGATTTGTCACTGTTTAGCAATTCTATCCTCTATCACTGCTATTAGGACACCTCAAAATGGAAGATGAGCAGATGGCATCTGGGTCTGGGGAAGCTGTACCTATGTCCTGGTTGCCATCCCCACCTGTGGACATAGCTAACATCAAACAGGTGAGATTAATAACTTGAGATTATTTTCTGGATATATTTTGTTAATCTGTCTTGCATTGCTTGTAGGTGGAATAGAGAAAACAATTTCTTAGGCAATGCTTGTATTCCCTTCTTTTAACTACTGCATATCAATATGCAGAAATGTCATTTCTTGATGTTCCTTTCTGCCATTTGAAAGGATTTTTCCATTCCACGTCAACTCTTTTATGATATCTTGATTTACCATTGCATAGAGTACAGAGTGTTGTCTTGTGATGATTTTAAAGATTTCATTTATTTTCGTTGAAAAATTTAGACGGAGTCCAATGCAGATGCTACAAACATGGTTTTGGCTGATCCAACTGTGGAGTCAATATCTTCTGTTGCTGCCTGTGACCCACCAAACTCTTCCAGCGGTATGGATTTCATTATTGTAGCTGAAGCTGCCGCAGAAGAGGCAACCAGTGGTGAGTAAAGTGTTTATGGTCAATGCTGTCACAAGGACTGTATTTGGTTTCCACATCAGAAGTGGCGAAGCTTGACTTAGTGAACTAAAAAAAAACGTGTTTTTTAAAAAAAAATAATTAATAAAAATCAAAGTTTTTGGTTACAACTTACAATTGCTCTTACTTTTAAATTTTATAAACTGCTTTGGTTGCCATCACTAGGTACTACACAGTTAAGAGTCACAAAATCACTTAGGAACAATGCTTTTAGGTGTAGTTTATGATTGTTTCATGAAATTACTTAGTGCTTGTCTTTAGATTGTGATTGGTTCATGAAATAACCTAAGAACAATGAGTGTCTGTTTAGATTGTGATTTGTTCATGAAATCACCTATAAACAATGCTTGTTGGTGCAGATTGTTATTAGTTGTGACTTTGCTTTTTTCTTAGCTCTATATCAAGACTTGGACTCAGTGAGATCTGCCTGGGCAAATGCAGACATCGCACCAGGAGATATGGAGTCTGAAGATTCAAGTAGCGGTCAGGACTGAATATATTTTTTGATTTTTAATAAGCTTTTTCAGTATATATAATTATTTTATCTATATTTCAATAATTCAAAATATATTTTGTTGTTTCCTCTTTGTCTTTGTCTCTAAATAATGAGAAAAATGCTACTAATATTTAACATTTGCAAATTAAATTAAAAAAAAGGTTTGATTATTTTTCATCCTTCAAAACCTTTTATTTTATTTCTGGTATCAGAAGCGACTGAAGCTACAACTGCTGCTCATTCTGAACCTGCCATTGACTGCACTATGCACACAATACTAAATCATCTGTCTGACCTCTCGGATGACACAGTGACATCAACAACAGATGACAGCACTGCCAGTCGCTCATATCATGGTGGCAGGCGCAATTCTGGTCCATGTCATTCACCAACTAGTGGCAACCACTACATGTGCTCTGGCTTCACACGCAGCAGGAACAACAGCAGTTCATTAGCTGCGGCACACGCTGATTTCCTTGACATTGACCCGCCTTCACATTCAAATGACATCTGGGACCCAATGAATCCATATGGTTTATTTAATCTACCGGAGCCAATGGGGTCATCTAATTCCAGGCGCTCCCGACACTGGGCTGGTGAAAATAGCCGCAGGGAACGTGATGGTTATGAAATTTTTAATTTAAACAATGAAGACTCCAGTGATGATGACCTGGCCTCATCAGTTAGAGCTGCCACTCCGCCCCCACCACCTGCAGAGCTGTTTGAACCTCCAACATTAGGTGGCAGCAGATCCCACTTTCAGACTTGTTCGCGTGGGCAAATACCAAGTACAGATTTAGATACATGGGGTTGCAGGAGGTATCCAAGCCCACCCCTGTTTCTAAGTGGGAATAGTGATTCTGATGCGTGCAATTTGGGTAATTTTTTTTCATTCTATAACAATGAAAGATATTTAAATGTTAGATATACAACTGCAGCGCATAAATAAGAAACAAAATTCTGCCTTCCAAAGAAATAAAATGATGAATATTAAATTAAGTATTAGAATTATACATTTCTAAACAATTTGGAAATAAAATGACCTAGATGAACATTGTGATGATATTAATTCCTAAATGTCCTTCATTTAGAAATTTACATTTTACAAAAGTGTTAAGCTTGCAGAATACTATAATTTTCATGATGAAACAAAAGTTTTTCTTCCCTCATTTCTATTCTATCATGACATGCATTCTACACAGCCTAATTTGCTAAAAAAACATACATTTGCTTTGAGCTCAATGCCAGTTCATTATAGTGCTTTAGTAGGATTCCTCAGCTTTGTCAGAGAATTTTTAGCTTTTTTTTGCCATTATTTTTTTGCTAACAGTGTTGTATAACTGAAAGCATGCAAAGTGATTACAACATTATAAGAATTTTTAAATTAAACTAAAATTTAGTTAACCTATTAAAATTGTTAACATAGTTCCTCTGACATCTATTTCCAATAAACCGTTCATGGTTCTAATATATTTCTATGATCATCTATTAAAGAAAGTGTTTAAAAAGTTCATCTTTTCACAAAAATTATCAAGAAACTCTAATCCTTACATCTACAACTGGCATGCATCACTGGTCAATCATAGAAATTCAACCCTAGCTATGTGTAGTGTTAAACGGCCTGCTGTAAATATGACTATAATGCCTATATAAACTGATTAATGAGACATGAATATTAAGTTGTGTCAATAGAACAATATAAGTTACGTTTTAATAATAATTATACATTATACACAATTAAATGTTTCGGCACATGCCTTCATCAGTACAAACAAACAAAACACATTTAAGTAAGTATAAATTAAATTTCTGACAATCATTTTAAAATCAAATTTCAAAACCAATGAGTCCTCCAAATAATGTTAACATCCCTAAAATGAAGCTACATGTGTTTCCATTATCCCATATTTAAAGTTTTAAAGAATTTAACTCCAAATTAGGCGAGCCCATTGTTGTTTGCCAACCTTCCCTACTCTATTTCTTATTGTTTTCTATCTCAATATGCTGCAGGGTCCGATGCCACTGGTAATAATGCTGGACCCTCAGCAAGTCCAAATGATGATGGAGACCCAGAACCTGCAGCTGTCCACAGTTTCACTGGTAGTCTATCAGGTAATAACATTTGGATATTAACTCCACAGCTTTAATGTAATGTTCCTCTTGATTGATAAGCTAAGTGCATGTAATTTAAATTTATGTGTTGAATAGCTAAGTGCACATAATTTAATTTTATGTGTGATTACAAAGTATAATCTTATTAAAGCTGAAGTCTCTTATGATCTCAGAATCGATTGAAAATTAATATATGATTTAAAAAAATTTTTTTTAAATGCAACATTTTATTCTGATATATTTATAAGGTGTATTTAAAAAAAATTGTGAAGATATATTACAAGGGCATAAAGTAAGTTTTGTTGCTGTTAAAGAGTAAACTTGCTAAATCTATAGGGGCAATTAGAAAATCTTAACAGTTTAAACAAAAATAATAACATTCACCAGTCTCTGAAAAGTTGTACCTTGTTTATACATTGCTGTTCTCTGCTCAAATTTTTGAACAGATATGATGAGGACCATTGACTCCGATATGCCATTTCACCGTCGCTCACACAGGGACCTGGCGGAGGAGATGGTGGAGATGGTGTTTGTACAGGAAGGCATGACCTTCAGCTTGCCTGTGCCCAAAAACGGCAAGAAGACTTTGGGTGCTGGAAGGGGAAAGGAAACCAAACAAGCCTGGGACCTGTCATCCAAGAGGTCAAGAATCCTGAAAGTTGTTTTGTGGTTTTTTTAAAAAAAATTCTTATAGACCCAATATTTGACCTGTAGCAGTCCCAACAGGTCAAATTGTTACTAAAACATCAACTGCCAAAGCCTATGCCAGGTCTTTTGAAATGGTCTGATGTATTTATCTCTTTAAATCCTTTTTTCTGTACATGGGCCAGCTTTTATGTGGATTAGATGTTTTCTGACCAAAAGTTAATTATCAGAATTTTTTAAAACTTTTACCTAACTCCCTGTTTAATTATTTGTCAATAAAACGCAAGCATTTCAAGGCAAAGACTTAACATTTGAATTCAGGGGCACTAGGTCATTGTGAAACACGCAATTATAATAGAGTCCACAGTATCTTTATATCTTTATAACATGATGAATGTAGCAATAGTCCATGTTATTATCATTCAGTGGTTGCATGCTTTATTTCTTATAATATAGGAACTCAGATCCCACTGCCTCTACATCATCTACAAACGCAAGTGGCGAGAACATAAGGGAGACCTTCCTTGAACCTGATGCTGTTAGAAATGGTGGGGCCTGCTCTTCGGGATCGAGTTCAAACCACACAAATCAGAGCAATATTCAAGACAATCAACACAGGTCTAATAGACTGGCCAAGGAATCTAATGACCTTTCAGCTTCAAGCACCTCTAATAATAGTGTTTCTGGGTTTGGCCACAGAAGCAGTAGTCCATCTTCCATGACCAATAATATAGGTAGTGATGATGGGGAAAGCTCAGCTGGGAGGCGTCAGTTCCTTTCTTTTTTAGAACCAGATCCTCCTATGGATTCCACTAACAGCTCATTTGAATCTTCAGAAACCAGTTCCCAGTCCAGTGGAATGCATAATTCTCATTCTGGGTTTGACTCATCCAACAAAGTAGACACTCTCATAGCAAGCCCCTTACCTACCACAGCTGTCAGTAGTAGTTCCACTACACCCTTCAACAGTGGTGGAGCAGATGCCATAAACTCCACTGTGACAAATGCAAGTTCAAAGAATGGGCAGAACGGTGTAAGTGGTTTGCGTAACTGGCTGCAGGATATTTGGCTGCAGCAATTCAGTGAACAGCTAGGACAAAGCAGAGAAAACAGAGGTAGTGTTGGTGCAGGTAACATTCACCCAGCTGGAGAATCCGATGTCCAGTCAACAGCGGGTACACATGGCTCAACCACAATGTCTGATGACAGTGATGTTGAAGTTGTGATGGTGGAGCCCCGGTAAGTTTAAGTTAATTTATTTAAATTACCTGTCAACGTGTCTAGGGAGCGTTAAATGCGCCATGTTGAAGATTTGTCTGTGTTCCATCTTAGGGGAACCTCTCTTTTTTTTTTTTAATTTTACGGTAGATCATTTTTTTTACCAAACCTGTTTGTTCACAAGCCAACTGCCTTAATTTTGGATGGGCAATGCCTGGAAAGTGTAAAACCCCTCCTAAAATAATGCCAAAGAATATCTAGGATGAGGTTATGCTGGTGCTAAAAACCACTAAACAGTGGCCCATCTTCTTCCACTAACAATCTTTTTTTGTTAAATGTTAAGCGAAAAGGCAGGAACACAAAATTTTGTGAAATTTAAAACATGACATTGAAGAAAGAAATAAACGATTAAAATTATTAAAAAATCCTATTTAATTCAAATTTTTTTAATTAAAAAAAAGAGCTTTCATGATTTTGTTCAAGCCTGTAAAATGATGTGTTTCATCAACAGAAATAGCCATGCTACAGTGGTTGTAGATCTAACTGCTGAATCCGATGAAGGGGTTGATCTGACAGAATCTGACGAAGGTGAGTTTAAACCCACTGTGCAACAAGTGCATGGTCAAGGACGTTATAGTAATTTTGATATGTACACACAGAGTACCAAAAACTAATAGAAAAATGAATCCTGATGCCCATTGAAGTGTAAAATGTTCTGATTGTTAAATTGGACAAGAAGTCATATAGTATGAGTTTGGACTTTTGTGAATGTACAGAAAGAAAAAGCCTTTTCACTGAATTTGTAAAATTAATTTTGGTACAGATCACAGTGACAGAAAGCAGACAACACAAGAGATCAGTCATAAAGTCTAAAAAAAGATTTCATTTTAAAAATATTACAAAGACAAAGTTTTTAATCAAATTTTATTTTAAAGAATACTATTTCCTCCTTTCAATGAATGTTCATATTGTCTACCTCTTACGGTTAAGAAATAAAATTTGTTCCTTTGTTTTAAGTAGAAAAAAATAAGTTTTTTATTTAAAAATTATTTAGTTATGATAAGTAGACAGTATGCGCCAAAAATGACAGTACTGAAACTGCAGCAGCTTGAATGCATTTGTATGTTTGTCAACAGTGCATAGCTCCAGTCACCATGTGTTTCCTGGGGTTTCAAAGAAGTTTTGTTGGGCATGTATTGTTAGAGATAGGTCTCACAACTTGTAAAGAAATTTCTCCCTTTCTTGAAGTGTATTGTTTCAACAGAAGTGTAATTGTCAATGGAAGTGTATTCTATCAAAGGAATTGTACTGTCTCAATGGAAGTGTATTCTATCAAAGGAATTGTACTGTCTCAATGGTATTGTACTGTCTCAATGAAAGTGTATTCTGTCAATGGAATTGTACTGTCTCAATGGTATTGCACTGTCTCAATGGTAGTGTACTGTCTCAATGGTATTGTACTGTCTCAATGGAAGTGTATTCTATCAAAGGAATTGTACTGTCTCAATGGTATTGTACTGTCTCAATGGAAGTGTATTCTATCAAAGGAATTGTACTGTCTCAATGGTATTGTAATGCCTCAATGGAAGTGTATTCTATCAGAGGAATTGTACTGTCTCATTGGTATTGTACTGTCTCAATGGAAGTGTATTCTATCAAAGGAATTGTATAAAAGGAGTAAAACAGAGTAGGGTTAAACCTGAAAAAAGGAACGCAATAAAACAACGAATGTGTCGACAGAAAGCCTTCGTCAGCGAACAAAACAACAGAAAAAAACAGTATAAAAATAAATAAAAATAAGAAATAGCACTTGGCTTAGAAGTAGTATCCATGGCCAGCAAAAGAAATGTGACAGAAAGTAAGTTTCGTAGTCTTGTGATGGGTAATGGAAAAAGTTTTTTTTTTTTTTTAACAGGAACTGAGTTCACAAATAGGGTTTTTAAGTGATAATCAGGATCGTTTTTATTTTCAAATAATGATTCTAAAGAAGTCTAAGGATTGTTTGTATGAATTTAATGAATGTATTAAATCTAGCAAAGTTCAAAAAAGTAATTGAAAAGCTCTGATTTAACACATCATGTTGCCATAAAACACTGACACATATTGTGCCTCACACAGACCAGTTCAGTGCTATCACCACATCATCAGCGAGTCAGAGCCAGCCATCACAGGAAATGCGCTATGAACCACAGTGCTCTTCATCTCCGCCCCCGCTCTTCAGGCCAACATCTTTCCTACAAAACCGAAGTCCCAGAATTCCCGTAAGTTAGCATTTCAAATCCAGGCAGTTGTACTTTTCCCACTAGAGTGAATAGGTGGAGATAGCTAAGAGATGAAAACATCTGTCATTTTCATCTGTCACTTCCTCTTACTAATACCCACCACAGGTCGATCTGTGGAACAGCAATGAGGAAAGCAACACAAGGCCCACATACTTTCGCCTTCTGCATCCCAACTCTCAGTCCCAGAGCAGGAGTGCAACCAGGGAGGAGGCGTGTCCCAGACCAACATGTAACTACATGCGCTATGACCCTGGCTCTAACGGTCAGGCCCCAGCTTCTGGTGAGCAGCAGAGACCATCCTCAAATGTCTGCTGTCAGTGCCAGTGTCAAAGATGTATCCAACAAAGTGTAAGAAATTCAGTCAGTTATTCTTTACTGTATCATATTTACAAGGTGCACAATTTTTTTTTAAAAATGTAATCATTGTTATAAGTCATAAGCACACAAAAAAGGACATATTAAATCCAAGGGGTATCTGAAGGTAGTGCAACTCTACACATTAATGTAACAATCAAATGTGCATGGTTCGTCCCATCATTTATGCTTGTCAGGATAGTGTTTTTATCAATAAGAAAGAAATTCCTTGCCTCTCATAAGCCAATTTAAATGTAGGATATCTGTTATTGTTGATGAATAAAAAGTCTGAAAGCATTGTTTTTGTGTCCGTTTAATATTTTTTTTTTTTTAATTCATGGAGCATTTTAAATCCTTGCTTGATGTGCTCTTTTGATTTCTGTGTAGCCCCTGATGCCAAGACAAATTTTAAACCCATGGCATGAGCACCAAGGTAGAGACTATGAGGTGAGTTACTTCACAGTCTTTTAGAATACAGTATGTGCCAAAAGTAACTGCTGATAGTCCGGCATCTTGAACGCCTGTGCGCTTTTGTCACCGTTGCATAGCTCCAGCTGCCATGTATTCACTAGAGTGTGAGGGAAATTGTGTTAGGCGGTTGTCTTTGGGAAAGGGTCTCTCTAAGGAGGAAAAAATGTTCACAGTTGAGCACTACTTTTGCTTGCAAGTTAGGGGATAAGTGATTGTGGTGGTGGGGGGGGGGGTTGTGGTGTCCATTGTTAAGAAATTTTGTAGTTTTGTGGTAGGGTATTGTGTCAGCGAAAGAGGAAGTTTGGTTGACCAGTAAATTTTTTTTTAAGAATAACGCCCATTTTTACTAGAGTGTGAGGGAAATTGTGTTAGGTGGTTGTCTTTGGGAAAGGGTCTCTCTAAGGAGGAAAAAATGTTCACAGTTGAGCACTACTTTTGCTTGCAAGTTAGGGGATAAGTGATTGTGGTGGTGGGGGGGGGGGGTTGTGGTGTCCATTGTTAAGAAATTTTGTAGTTTTGTGGTAGTGTATTGTGTCAGCGAAAGAGGAAGTTTGGTTGACCAGTAAATTTTTTTATAAGAATAACGCCCATTTTCTAGAAGAATCTGTGTTCAAGGAACATCTTTCAAAAACATTAGCATACATAGGCTTAAGAACATAAGTAAATTTTCTTTTTATATACATACATTAGATTACGCTTTACGGAGCCATATCTATGAGCCAGGATGATGTATTGTGGAAATTTCTGGCTTTGGTGTCCGAGGATCAAGTTTTTATAGGAATGCGTGATTTTTCTTTGACAGTCACATCTCTTTGTCTTGCACCGCTAGAAACTTTCTTCGGGATAGTATTTTGAAAGACTCTTAATAAAGATAAGGCTATAAAATAATGCAGAGTGACTTATTTTTTAAAACAAGATGCAAAAAAAAAGCATTTTACTTAAATTAATTCAGGGATAAAAGGATAAACTTGAACCAGCGATTCCACACATCTTTTTAAAGTAGGATAAATAACATAACCAATTGTATTATCTAAAACTCTGGCTTAATAATTTTTTTAAAAAACATCAGGCTGATGAGCTATTCTCTGGGGCCCTCCCAATTCGGAGAATATAGTGGCCAAAAAAAAAAATTATAAATAAGCCAAAGGCACTGAGAATATTTAAGAAATCATTAAATTAGTTACTATAATCAATTGTAGTATCTAAAACTCTCAATAACTAATAAAAGGATAAAATGACTTACAGATAAGATGTGAGGCCGTCCTGTTAAAATTAAAATAAGATTTAATGCTGTTTAAATGGCCATTGTTCCTCTGTTGCAGCCAGAAAACTCTGTGAGGGCAAGAAGCAGGACACACAGACACCACATGTGTGAGGGCTGTTCCCACACTTCTCCATGCCCTCATATAAACAATCCCAGCCTGACTCATGTCACAGCCAGCATAAACTCAGCCTCCCCCAATGGTCCGCACTCTAACCAGTTGCATGTGAGCATCAACTCAAGCAACCCCAATGGTCCGCACTCTAACCAATTACATGTCAGCATCAACTCAAGCAACCCCAATGGCCAGCAGTGTGACCAATCGCTTGCAAGCAACAACTCGGCCACTCCTGTCCAGCCGCACGTCTCGAGCGCCTCCGCTTCCATTCCTCTGTCCATCCAAGTCCACCCCCCCAGCTGCGCCCCAGTAAATCCATTTTCTGTCAGCAGTAGTACCTCGTCGAATACCCATCGCTCACCGCAACTCCACCAGCATCACCATCATCATCACCATCACCATTTAACACGACCATTCCCGCACATGCCACATCGTCCTGAGCCTTTAGTACCTCTTTTTCCTCCAAGGCATAGCAGGTAAAATTCTTAATCAGGATGTTTCCATTAATTTTTTTCCATATTAAAAAAAGTTTCAGAGAAATGTTACGTTTATAGTAAATTATATCATTGGCTTTCATTGAGAATTAGATACAGCGTTTTCTACGCTACGGATATAGCATGTTCTTTTTGATAAATGGAAACTGGAAACAACTTGTCATAAGTAACGTTAAATAAAGCTTCATTTCTTTTTTATTGAAATCAAATTTCAACAAATAAAAATTTCCCGTTGCCATTTAATCTAGGAAACATTAAACAGTGAAAAATATTCATGGTTTGTGTTCATGGCCAATTAATATTGCAGATTTTAATTCAACTGATTAAACTGCATTTTAAATATTTTTTTTTTTTACATTTCAGAAGCAGACCCCACATGCCACACAGCAGTCTTCCTGGTAACAGAAGTGCAAATGTCAATACCCCTGGTGTCCTTATGTGTGGTGGACAACTCAGATGTATGTTGTTTAAGTCAGTTTCTTTGAAAGCTCAGTTACAGAAATTCATATTGATACAATCCATATCCTAGCTACCTTAATTATAAACAACAGCAGCATGCTACTGTGTATACCATGATCTCAAGCAAACCCCCCTAACTTTATGTTTGAAATAAATCCCTAGTATCAGATCTGTTTACTCTAACGATTTTGGTGTACTGTGTACGATTTTGAGGAGTCTTTTACAATTGTACGCTGAGACCTGTCAGAATTATGATTTTTAAGAGACCGGGAAAAAAAAATGTACAGGAACTTAATAATATAAATTTGTAAAATATAGATATAAAACAGTGTGAACAGGATTAATGCAGGGGAGGGCAACCCGTCAGCCACCACGTTAAACATTGTGGCTCACCATATGTATTAGAAACTAACTAATTTCTTGATTTATTTAGCGATTATTTTCATTTTTGGTGTAAACGAACATTTAAAATATACACACATCACTTTTTTGTGATGGTACAAGCCATTTTTTAATATTTTTTTTTGCAACTGCTGCTTTTTTGGACTGATTTTTTTCTTTAAAAATTGAAATAAGTAATAAATAATAAAACATTTTACAATTTAGAAACTACTCAAATAAAAAGATTTTTATAAATACAGCTAGGTAAGAGGAACATAATTTTCCACGGCCATTACAATTAAGTGCAGGGTCATGCAAAATTATTTTCAGGTGTTCGCAAAAGTGCATCCCTGCATTTTGAATTTAAAAAAAAAAAAAAAAGTTAATAATAATAATAATAAAGTTTATTTAAAAAAACACGCTTCATCCCCAAAGGCTCGAAGCGCGGTACAAAGTCAACAAAAACAAAACCAACAACCTATAATTTACCACAATTAAAAAAAACGCAACACTACAAAAACTAATTACAAGCATCCAAGTCAAAGTCATTCTACCCATTTCAACCCTAAGCAACACAGCCAATATGCATTAACTGGAAAATATGGTAGACAATCATCCCAGAAGGTGTTTGTGAAATAGATGTGTCTTTAAATCGGTTTTAAACGACTCCAATGTCTGGTTGTTTCTGAGAGCGACAGGAAGGGCGTTCCAAATTGTTGGGCCATTTAATGCCAAAGTGCGCTTTCCGTAAGTCTCAAGGCGAACACGTGGTGTCAAGAGTTTGCCACTATCGGATGAGCATAGTTGTCTAGTGAATACATAAGGCGTCAGCAGCTCTTTCAGATAGGACGGCGCCAGGTCATGTAAGCAGTGGTAGCACAAAATTGCAATTTTGTACTCTATGCGAGCGCGGACTGGCAGCCAGGAATTCCAGGAATTGGGCTCTGCCTCCTCCCTAAACCCCACTCCCTCGTTTGTTTGGGTGGCTGGTGGGTGTCTTCAGTTTCCGCAACCCCACCCCATCTTCATCTATCAAAGTTGCAAATTAAAATTATGAGCACTTTAATTGCAAGTAATAAAGCACTATATATGAATATAAAAATGTCGATATCTATTTGACTATTGCAATGTGGTATTGTACAATTTTGAGAAGGTTAAGTATATTCTGAGAATATATTTTACTATTTTGGGAGTTCCAGTGTAACCAGGTCAACTTTAAATGCCTTGCCAAAATCATTTAAAATGTTTAATTTTGTCACACTGACACAACTAAGCTAACATCCCTTTTATTACTTTAAAAGAGGCGCTACTTACATTACTGATGTGTGCAGATTCAATTCAGCCTGGGCTGTTGAATACAAGTGGGAAAATAATATTTGTTTGCAAAGGAATTAGTATTGATCGTTTACTGGTAATGAAAATTTTCTTACCGGCCAATATAATGCAAACCCCCTATTTTTAATTAGCCTTTTTAACCTTACATTTCTGGCAATAAAAGGGGTAATATAAGCAGACCTGTTTACTCTCACGATTTTGGCGTACAATGTACGATTTTGAGGTGTATGCATTATATATAATGTATGTTTATTTTTTACTATTAAGATAATGTATTGAACGATTTTGTGATGATATTGTACGATTTTAAGAGTTTGAGGGTAGACAGGTCTGTATAAGGTATGTAATTCATTTTAATATCCCATCCCATATCAATTAAAAACTTTCTTAATATTTATTTTCGATTAGCTGTGTTAAAGAATGAAGTGATCATTTTGTTTAATGTGTAAAATTTCTTATTTCTGTGTTGCCCGGTAAACTCTGTATTGACCTATACCTATAAAAATTGGTCTGTTTGTAATCTCCACAGTCAACCGTCTACACCAGCCTCCTCAAGCACACATTCACCACCACCACTACCACCCCGCTGCGGACAGCTTGGGCTTCCTCACCCTCAACTGCCCACCCACCCCGTTGATGCATTACCCAGGAACCCACCATCCACCCACTCCGGCCCAGAACACTGCTCCCGGAGCACACCCCTGCCTCCATTCCGCCCCTGGTTGTGGAGCCACCTGCTCCCATGCAAGCTGCATAGCTCAACCACCTTCCATGGCAAATCAGGTCAATCCATCCAGGTCGATGGGGCCAAACCGAATGAAGTAAGAATTTTTTTTCCAGTTTTGCTAAAAAATTATAATCCTCCCATAGTTAACGTTTTCATTTCGTTGGAAAATATTCTTATTTCATCACCACTTCTATAGGCCTTAAGACAATCCCACATTTTCTGAGTTGGGACTCCACCAATTTTTGGCTTTTAAGCAATCTTTATTCCTGCACACTGTGATTTTAGGAGCCATTATTCGTAGAAAAAGTGTACCATTTTTTTAATTTTTGAGATTAGCTAGTCAGTGATTGACAGTAAGCTTCACTATTAAATAAAGATTCTTGGTAATTGAAGATCATAGTCATTAGGAAGACCTGCCAGCCAATTCAATTCTTTTTTGGTTAAAATTTGCACATCCCCCCTCCCGCGCCCCCCTTTTCAAAATTGTATTTTAAATAACTAAAGCAACTGTATGTTTACTATTAAATGACCAAAAAATGGCTGTACTGGATGAGGTTTCTGCAGTTTTTATCACAAGAACTTAGGCAGAATTGGGCTGAACGTAGCCTTAGCTTTAGTCTCATTTGTCTTTGCTAAATGTATTCATCATGACCCTGAGTGGGCCTCGGGTTATTTACTGATGAGCTGCCGCATTGAAAGACGGAGGGTGGATGAATTAAAATGTAGGTCACATTTTCCCACATGCGGGTCGATTATGCACCAATTCATTTGCCTTTTCCTTAATTATTAACATATTTTTTAAGTAACATACCATTTTTTAAATTACCTTCCCTGTCTGTAAAAGCTCAATCCAAAACAAAAGTAAGAATGTACATTTATGACTTCTGTTTTTCCCTAATAGTTCATGTATTTTGATGTACTTGAACTTGTCCAATTCTCCTCTAATTCTTTAAATGGCAGTTTATTACTGGATGTAAATATAAGCTGGTACTAAAAGATCTAATTCAAATACATAAATTCTGATGTCATCATGACAGTTTGACTTTTTTTTTTCCACAAAGATTTATTTATTTTTCTCCAGCATGGAAACTCTACCCCTGCAACCATTACGTCGCCCCAGCTCTCCTTCACAAGCCTATTATGGAGCTCCTTATGTAACAGGGCTGAGGCCACCAGTAGCACACCAACAGCTGCCGGCTGGAGCCTCGATATCCCCCTCACCACAGCTGCCCCCTCCTCCTCACACGTCACAGGGTGCCCCACCGCCACCATCCTCAACACAGTCTCAGGGGACGGACCAGCACCCTCACCAGCACGCACACCAAAATGTTGCTGCTGGCCCCTCGACACACCCACACCCTGGAATGGTCTGCGATCATGCTCACGGTCACACCCACCCGCACGACCAGCGACGCATGGTGAGTCCGTCGGGTGAAGTTCCCCATATGTTAACCCGCTTGATTCGTAATAATGAGGTAAAACTCAGCATTTTTTCAGCACATTTTTCAATATTGTACCAGCCTAATATCTGCATGAGCTCTGTGTTTGCTGTACCTGTAATTTAACAGCCCTCCTTATACTCAGAGGTATTGGCTTCCTGTATATTTAATGTAATAGATGAATTTTTAAAAAAAAATTTATGTACAGCGCGGTGAGCCCAGCCCTAGGCTGGGGTACCGCGCTATATAAGACGTCTTATTATTATTATTATTATTATATGTGTTGTGAAAAATCTAAAACACAGGTTCCCTACCCATGGGTCACAACCCCAAATGGGTTCAGGGAGGGTTATCTTTTTTTTTAAAAATGTGTTAGTTTTGCGGTTCATTTTGCTCAACCAAATGGGGGAAGTGACTAAAATAGTTTGGGAACCTGTGATCTAATTTATTAAGTCCATAAACATCAGATATAATAAGTATTTGACAAACCCAATCTCTGAGCCCTGCTACCTAACTCTCAAGGGAAGAATTTTTCCAGCCCTCAGTAACACTCCTAGAACTTAATAGCAAAATAAAACTAAAGAAAGTAATTCATTTTTTTCCCTGCCACTCATGCTAGTTATTAATAACTTTTAAGCCTGAAACTGTCATCAGGCCATCAAAAGTTTTACATATTAGGCCTTGATTTAGATAGTGATTTTTGTATTGTAAGAAACCTAGCAGCCTGAAAAAGTTATCAGCAAACCAAAGATTAAATTTTGCAGTAGAAAATTATTGGATTTTATCTATAAATTTGATAAATATATCTAAATTCATTATCTTGTCTCGGTTCCCTCTTGTGGTTTTAATGTTCCCAAATTAGTCTTTTGTCTTCTAGTTAATTTATTTCGGCTTCAAAGTTTAGATTGTAAATATATATATTTAAAAAAGAAATTAAATTAATCTCTTTAATGGTTAACTAAACTGAGCAAAAAGAATATCAGCCGGAAACAGGGCAAACTTCAGTAGTCAGAAAATACTCAAAAGTAAAAACATTACAAGAGAAACAAAGAAAACTATTTATAAAACTGTAATCAGATCATTTGTAACATATGCAAGTGAAACTTGGACCCTAACAAAAACAGCAGAAAACCTATTAAACACATGGGAGAGGAAATTTCTCAGGAAAATATATGGGCCAACAATGGATGAATATGGATGGAGAATATGAACCAACCATGAATTATTCAGTCTATATCGGGATACCACGATAGTAGCAGAAATAAAAAGAGGCAGGCTAAGCTGGGTAGGACACCTAGAGGGAATGCCAAATGACAGAGGAACAAAGACGGTGCATCACCAATACCCCAGAAGAAAAGGGCTCAAAGGCAGACCTAGGCTTAGGTGGATAGAAGATGTGGAAAAAGATCTACGGCAGCTGAAAGTCCAAGCATGGAAAAGAATGGCATTAGTTAGGTCTGAGTGGAAGGAAGTGGTGCGGCAGGCCAAAGCCCTAAATGGGCTGTAGTGCCACAGGGATGGATGGATGGATAAACTGAGCAAATCTCAAGTTGGTGGTCTGGAGTTCAATTCCAACCAAAGCCCAGTCAAAGCAAAAACACCACCAGCACCCCGGGTAGATGGGAATCGTTAACCTTGGATGGCAACTCATCTAAGAGAAGGAAACTCTGAAATCAAACCCAGTGATGGAGTCCCGAAAGGCGGATAACATTGGTACAATGAAACATTCTGACAACTCCTGCTACGCCACTGGTGCCAAGCTATATCATCCAATGATGTTCCCTTGGGTTATCCAGCGGCGTGGAGAGAGGCGATTTGCTGTTGGGAACCAGCTTATAATCCTTGAAGAATAATCCCAAGCCTTGTGGATTTCGTCCTCCAAAGCCCACACCATCGTCAATCACTATCGGACGGATGCCAGCAAAAAAAAAAAAATTTGAAAATTGTTGAGCTAGTCATACAGCTTCATTAAACTTTTAATACAACATATTGATTGGTATTGCAAACAAGTAATTTTTGGTCAAAATTTTGTGAATAGCTCAGTCTAGCTCTTTCTTTTAAAACCTTTAGCATACTGACATATTTTAAAGAGTATAACCAAATGTCCACAATTGGCTTTGTCATTTGAAGTGTTTGTTCTTTCTTGCAGTAAAATTACCACCTTTAAAATAAATTTGATGTGTTAAAAAAAAAAATAATTTTATAAAAATAGAATTGAAATTTGAGCAAATAGTTTTTTGGAAAATATAATTGGCTTCAATGATTCACTTGACTTTAATAACATTCACCTTGTAAATTTTGATAAAAATAGTAAGCAATAATATAATCAATACTTTGAGAGCTCTTGGTCTTTTTTTTTTTTTTTTAATAATAGAACTAGAAATTCTGAACTTTTAAAAATTTGGGGTCACTCTTAATAAAAGCTAATTTCTATTAAAAAGCTTGGCAGAGCAGTGCATTCATACATTGAGTATGTCACAAACTTTTGCCACCGTTGTTAAGATATCATAGATCTTTTCTTCTTTTAAAGCCACTGATAAAAAAAGAATGCCTAATTAAAAATAAAATAATGAAAATTTGTGATGTTTAAATAAGCAATAACTTTATAAGACTGACTAATACAAATTAACTAAAAAATTGTTGTTGTCTTTTTTTTCTAAACTTACTGCTTAACCTACTTGTTTCCACTAGTGTGTCTTTTAATGTGACTAGCCTTGTCTCTCACTGTAAAGCACTATCACCTGCTGCTGTTGGATCTCAATCTCATTTTACTTGAATGTGAATTTTAGTTTCGACGAGTGGGGATCTTATCAGTTCAATAATAAAGTCTAATCATGTCATTCAAACATACCAAAGTTTATTTACTGCACCTTTTAGTCAATTATTAGAATGAAGTAAAAACCTGATCAGTTCATAACCATACTTTGGTACTACTGCCCAAAGTAAACAAGTAAAAGATGGCTTTTAAGTGGACCGAGGGAAGCCGCAGAGCTATACCAAGAAACCATTGGTCAGTGACTGAAGTTTCTCCAGGTTCATATATAGGTGCATAAAAATTATTGTGTTTCACAAGCTCAAAGGCTAAAATTAATCAGAGTTGCTAGAGAAAATTTAAATAAACTGAGAGCTAACATGATATTCAAAGTACATGTGGTAAATAGCTTAGAGCTTTCCCTTGAGAGCTGACATGATATTCAAAGTATATGTGGTAAATAGCAAAGATCTTTCCCCTGAGAACTGAGATGATATTCAAAGTACATGTGGTAGAATGCATAAAGCTTTCCCCTAAGAACTAACATGACATTCAAAGTATATGTGGTAAATAGAATAAAGCTGACGTGTTGTAGATATCTTCAATTCAAGATATCCATCAATTGAAATCAACACAACACAAGAACATTATAGCACGTTTAAAAATGGAACTGACAATGTAACTGATCTATGGTTTCTATCTCACTATGGTATATCAGCCAAAAGAAAAGGCAAAACCACAAAGGGCAGACAGCTGAACAGGCACTACACAAAAGTCAGAAGATGCATCTTCAGTTGGACTGGGGAAAATACAAGAACAATGTCTACTATCAACTACCAAATATTACTCAAGATCTTCAGACCATGCGCACTCAAGATCTTCAGACCCTGCGCAGACTGCATTACAACAAAAAATTAGTTTATGACAGAAGCAAAAAGGAAATGATGTAATGGCAAAATGACTAGGGCAATGCACCAGATCTGCTTCAGTCAAAGGGCCATCACTTTGGTGACCTGAGAAGTCTCCACCGCTCCACTGTTGACTTACGGGCCAGCAATAGTGTGAGGCAAATTATAATCATTGTCAGCAATGGGATACTTGTATATTTGGCAATAGGGATTTGGCATTCTCATTCCCCAAGCTTTGTTACTAATGTTTTTATTGGTTGTTGCTTTGTTTTAAAAACTTTTTCTCATTTAAGCTAAAAATATGTCTTTCTTATCTTCCCTTTGCTATAGTATCCCTGGGCAGATTTGATGCCTTATCCAAGTATGCCTGTGCATATGCCCTTCCATCAACTTATGGACAGGCAAATGATGGAGCTTGTGAGTGGTGCTTTTTTTTTTTTAAACTCTGAATATATCATCAAGACATTTATCAAATCAGTTGAAATTTAAAGTATAATTTTAAAAAAGAAGTTGCTATATTTTTAATTGTCTAATCAATAGATTTATTTAATCTTTATTTTTGCCTTTCAGGACTTTCATCCTTATCGTCAAGTAGTGCCACCAAGGGTAAGTAATGCTTCACACCTGTGTCCATGCTCACTGGAGATTAATGAGGCACAAACAATTTGTGTAAATAAAACAATATAGGTTAAGTTTTATAATGGTGATACAGAATAAAAATGTAAATGTGTAGGCAGATGCCTCCTTCCGTCCATCCCTGTGGCACTATAGCCCATTTAGGGCATTGGCTGGCCTTCCTTAGATCTTTTTCCACATCATCCATCTATCTAAGCCTAAATCTGCCTTTGAGTCGTTTTCCTCTGGAGTTTTTGTGATTTACCCTCTTCAGTCATCTGTCATTCCACATTCTTTTAAAAGTGTCCTGCCCAGCATAGCTGACCCTTTTTTATTTCTGCTACTAGCATGGGATCCTGATATAGACTACAATTCTTGATTGGTTCTTATTCTCCATCCATATTCATCCACTTTTGGTTCATATATTTTCCAGGGAACTTTTCTCTCCCATGTGTTTAATATGTTTTCTCTTACTCAGTACATCATCTCCTCCCTACACTAAAAAAAAAAAAACCAACAACCCACATTCATATAGTATAAATTAAATTTACATAATATATATTTACATGTATTCTACCTAAACATGAAAGAATAAGAATGTAAGAATGGGCACTAGTCCCTGTAAAAAAAAAAAACCCTTATCAGAATGGAAAGGAAGTGGGTGGAAGTAATATTTTCAAACCAAAATGGAAAAAAAAACATTGCTGCCATGTAAAATTGGGAATATTGTTTATTCCATACAGAGTCAAAGTACCAAATCTTGTAATCATGCTCATTGACTTCTTCTTATTTCTGTAAACCCAGGGGGGAGGGGGTGGGGCATCGCAAGAGGTTATAGGACTATTTTTCTTCACTTGTTACTGTTACTCCATATTGGCTGGATATTGTGTTGCCCAATCATTTCTTCTGCCTTTTTTTTATTTTTCTTGGCATGGTTTACGAGGTAACTTTTGAGTGGCCTGATCTATTGACGTACATGTATGATTTAATTATTCACTCTATTGACCCCAGGTCTGGAAAAAAGCCTGTAATGCCATGAATGAAAAGATTTTATTTAATGATCTAGATTCTGTCTTGTCTTGATTTAGCAGAGAGTTGTAATATTATTAAACTGTACAGTGGCCTTGTGTTAAAAATGAGAGAAGCACATGGCAAGTGTTATTTTCTTTTCCCATTTAATTTAGCATGTGGCAATAGACATTCGACGCCATCCACACTTTGACATGGGTCACTGCAATATGGGGGCCACACAGGAGGTCATTGAACGGAACACCCTGCCACACAAGTACAAAAAGGTAACATTTGATCATTTTAACGAGAGAAGAATGAGTCAGGATAAGAACGGTGTATATTATTAACATATAGAAGGGAGGATCAAATCATTACTTACCTCCTAAAATATATCCATTAAACACTTATTTCCCAATCTGGAGGAATGCCAAGTACTGAACATGATTGGGGAGGCAACTGTATAGACATATAATTTTTATACAATTCAGGAATTAATAAGAAATTATGTTCCAGTTCATTCAATGTTGCCTTATATAGATGTATATAAATAATTGCCCCAACAGCAACTTACATGAACTCTCGATCATAAAATTAGTTTTTTGAAAAAATACTAAGCAGCATGCAACTGAAAGTAACTTTGACTAGCAGAAACAGATACTAAATCTAATGTAAATCAATTGAATTATTGAATGATGTGATTACAATATGCAACAGGTGGAAACAAGTTCAAGTGCTGATGAGGGAGCAGATGGCAACAATCATCAGGAAAAATGTACCATATGCCTCAGTGAATTTGAGACTGGTGAAGATGTTAGGTAAGTAATCAATAAATTTTGTTGCCTGCTTGATCGTCTTTGATTAGACATCAGTGTTTAAAATGACATGTATCGAAGAAAAAATGGGGGGGCTGGATTGATATATAAAAAAAATGACGACATAGCGGGGTCTGAGTTTGGAAAACGAACAAGCCTAATATTTCATAGAAAAAATTTCTAGTAAAATAGTTTGGAGGAGGGACATACCAAAATTATTAATTTATTACAAAACTTCAAAGTGTAAAACAAAATATTTAAAAAAAAACAGAAATTTAAAATTATTGATTTTTTTTTTTCAACTGTTTTATATTTATTCAGCTATATTAGATTTAGATATATTCATGTCATTGTTACAGTCAGATCTTGATACTTGTCAGATACTCTTCAATAAATATTTAATCTTTTGCTTTTCAGGCGACTTCCCTGCATGCATCTGTTTCATAGTGAATGTGTCGACCAGTGGCTCTCCACAAATAAAAACTGCCCCATATGCCGTGTTGACATTGAAGCTGGGGCGTTTAAAGGGATACTTTTTCTTGGAGGAGCAGGTGGACACAGTCAATGACAAAAATAGATGCTCTGGGAGGAGCAGGTGGACACAGTCAATGATGACAATAGATGCTCTGGGAGGAGCAGGTGGACACAGTCAATGATAAAAATAGATGTTCTGGGAGGAGCAGGTGGACACAGTCAATGATGACAATAGATGTTCTGGGAGGAGCAGGGATGTTCTGGGAGGAGCAGGTGTCAATAATAATCGATGCTCTGGGAGGAGCAGGTGGACACAGTCAATGATGACAATAGATGTTCTGGGAGGAGCAGGGATGTTCTGGGAGGAGCAGGTGTCAATAATAATAGATGCTCTGGGAGGAGCAGGTGGACACAGTCAATGATGACAATAGATGCTCTGCATCATTGGGGTTTTCCTTTATGTACTCTCAGTCACATGAACCTGTTGACCAATGACTCTCAACCTAACAATATTGCCAAGCCAAGTAGAGCATGTTGTGTGGACCATTAAATTGTCAAGTTGAATTAGCCCATGAATGCTATTGGTACGCTGAATGGCTTGAAAGTGAAGAAACAGAAAAGTCATATATTTGTTTAGTTGATGAGTGAAACAAGAATTCATCACTGGATCATGTTTTGTTGTCACCATCTGGAGTATTGAATTGTCAATGAGCGTTGAAAGGCTGTTGGGAAACTTAAAAGATGTATCAGCAATTTTCCGTTTTTTTGTTGCTGTAAATGGAAAGAGTTAAAAGTATGTGCTGATAGTCTTTCTTCAATCAATTGGTGGCCATTTGTGACATTACTGTTATCACGCCAACAGCCGCATCCACATAGCTTCCTCATACACATACAGCCTCGTACACATGCATGTGCTCCCCACCTTAGCCTTATACACAGACACCTGCTTGCAGAATAGCCTCACACTCGTGCATCTTCTTGTCATGGATGAATGACTTAAATCTTACAGTAAATTTTCCCCCTCCGTAAAATGTGCAGAGCGAACACTTCATTTCAATTGCTTCCTCAACTCAAAGAGACCCTATTCAATAACGTAGAGAAAGTTAGTCAAGTCAAATTGTCATTACTCACCGTAAACTTATGTTGAGGACTGACCATTTCTGAATTCAATAATTATTATAAATAAATAAATTCATTTAACCCCATGTGTTGGGGACAAAATTAAATATTACTGTACAGCACATTTGTATCATTTCTTCTACGTGGCTATTTAATTGCCTGTTAGAAAGTTGATTTATAGTTATTAAATGGGTACTGTATTTTCCGGCGAATAAGACGACTTTTAAACCAATTAAAATCTTTTCAAAAGTCGGGGGGTCGTCTTATACGCCGGGGGTTGTCTTGTGAGCTGGTGTACAGCCCAAACCCTAGATTTTAACAGGAAAAGTAGGGGGTCTTCTTATATGCCCAGTCGTCTTATACGCCGGAAAATATGGTAATTATTTTTAGTTTCCTTTTATCCATAATTTTTTATGTTTTGTCAGATCTTTTGTAACCGAGTCTCTAATTATGACTTTTGAGCTGTCCATTTCGGCTAGGTGTCACATTTATAAAATATATATAAAAACAACATGCAACTTGATTTTCTCAGTCCTGTCATTTTTCTTTTCAGCGTATAAAGTGATATCAAAATAGCTTTCCTCATTCGTTCTGTCAAAATTTATTATTATAACTATTTGATCTTTTTGAAATCAATGGAGATTCTTTTTCTTTTGGTTAAAATTAAATTATGCATTAAAATGTTTATAAATGGCATAAATAAGTTGAGAACCGTCTAATGGATATCAGTTTGACTTTTAATGCTAAGATCTCTTTAAATCATAATGAAATCGTGAGAACATTTAAACTGTCAACAGAAAAGTTCAATCTAGTGCACGAGTGAATAAAAAAAAGGTCAATCACATTAGCACATAATGTCATGGCTTTTAACTGTTGTCATTTTCTATCTGATCATTTGTGCGCTGGTTTTGAAAAATAACTTAGGTGGCACTCAATTTATGTCCCTATTTTTGTAAAGGACAGTCACTGCTATACTAAGGGAATATGAAAATTGTATTATTCTAACTTTAAATTTTTTAAAATTTAATATGTGATGCTGTACTGTATAATTGATGTAAAATGGAATATGATGTAATTACATATAATTTTTAAAAAATTTAAAAAACTGTAACATTTTAAAGAAATTAAAAGAAATTTGTATCAAAACTGTAATCTTGTTCAGATTTACACAAGCATACTTTTTAATGTTAGATTTAGTTTATATAAATTTGAAACCCTTTGCTGTAGAGGGCAGTTATGTGCACTTCATTCATTTACTGTATACGGCCCTTAAAACAATTTAAAACCACATTGCCAATACAACCAACAATTTCGAATATTCATTGATACCAGATATCAACTCCTATAATGACCGAGGGTCTTTTTGAACAAAACAATCGGATATAAGCTTTGTGGTTTTGCATTAGTGCCCTCATTGTAAACAAACTTTTGATGGATTTTACATATTGACCATGAGGAGAATTTAATTCAGTTATTGACCAGAGATAAGAATTGTACAGAAGGAATAATTTCATGTATGAGGTGTGGGTAATATTTTTCACATAACTTTATGTACCATATTACATGTGTAATGAAAATTACTAGGAATTCAGTTCTTTAGCTAGTTTCAGTAGATAGTTTTGATTCTGAAAAGATTTTATTTATCAGTAGTCTGCAGAAAAAAAATCAGAAGAAATCAAATCACATTCAACTAAAGAAGAAAAAAAAAGGTAACGTGATGCATTGTTCAAATTGGCTGGTTTGAAAAATGTTCCAGCTTTAAATGAAGGAGAAATCCTACCAACCCTGTTTTGACAAAACACCCCTTTTTACTATGTTAACTGTCATGTTATTTTTTATGTCCTTCTCATTAGATGAATCTTCCAATATAATAATTCAGATGGCAACAAATTAACTACAACTACTCTGGTAACCACGCCTTTTTTCTTTTCTTTTAGATTACATAACAATGAAAATGTTCATTTTGTTATATTATTGCCTCCAGCAAATGTGATTTGACTGAAATTGTTCCATTTGTCAGAATTGTTAAAGGAGCTCTCTATTTCCAGCTGTTTTAGCCTGACCACCTTCTGACTTAGCTAATAAGCACAAACATATGCTGGGTTCAAGTTACTCAGACACAGTTACCGACAGAGCCTACAGCTTGATATGTAATCCTGTCTCTTGTCAAATCCATGATTAGGATTTTTTCAGCAGCACAGATTTTAATTATTTTTTTTTTACTAGTTAAAAGTTTCTTTTTTTTATATACACCAGTTAAAAAGTGTCATTTATTAAAAAAGTCTTCATATTTTGCCTACGGTCAATGTAACATACTTCTATAATTTAATCTGTATCCTATTTTAACCATTTTATCCCTAAATGATTGTTTGTGTGTATTGAGATGGGCAATATAACACTGTATCTTAACATTATTTCATTTAGTCCTCCTATGTATATTTTAATAACCTTATTTTCAAGATGGGGGGTAAATGTTGGCACTCAACTGAACTTATGTGATCACAACAACGTTGTAGATGACTGAAAGCAATAACAACTTCAAACCACATCCCGTGTCCTTGACCTGCAAGTGGACAAAGAATTTGGATGTGCATGTACATATGTAAAAATGCTGAATTTGTTTTATTTAACTTGAGCCACAAGGAACTCTCATTTTTGTAAGTTTTTTTAAAAAGTATTAATTATAGAATTGTTCTTCTTGAGAAACTAAATTGAAGCACATCTTCATAGTCCTACTTAAAGTGCAGATTGGAAAGATACTATGTGACTGACCCAGAATAATTTAATGTTAGCAAAAATGCTTAAGACTTGATACAAAGAATCTTGCCCATACAGTTCAGTTAAATTTTATTTTATACTAGGATAAGAACTTTGACTTGAAGTGTTTTTTTTTACTTTGATTTTGCTTGCTAATACTAATACCTTATGTTATGGGGCTGAGTCAGCTCTAGACTTTTATTGAATGTCTCAAAAATGTAAATAATGTATGTGATCTGTGTAATCATAGATTAGAAGCACATTTCTGTATGATACTCTAATGTGCACGATTTTTTTTAATCAGCATATGTACAGTTTATTTTTGTGGGTGGCAGAATTCAATGGTTGCCGCTGAGATTGCCTCAGATCTGTTACATGTACTGTACAAATATATTATTGGTCCTTTCCCATTGCTCATAACTCTCAGGTACCACTAGCAATGATTCCTCTGCTGAACTCAAGGATGGACTCAATAGTCAATGTTGGTCTGCCATACCAACAGTCGATGTTGGTGTGCAATACAAACAGTCATTGTTAGTGAAACATACAAACAGTGGATGCTGGTGTGCCATAACAACAGTGGATGTTAGTGTATCATAGAAAACAGTTGATGTTGGTGTGTCATACAAATAGTCATTGTTAGTGTGCCATACCAACAGTCGATGTTGGTGTGCAATACAAACAGTCATTATTAGTGAAACATACAAACAGTGGATGCTGGTGTGCCATACCAACAGTGGATGTTGGTGTATCATACAAACAGTGGATGTTGGTGTGCCATACAAACAGTGGATGTTGGTGTGCCATACAATAGATTTAACCTGTTCGTCTGTGCACCAAGAATACCTCCAAGCAGAATGTGACCAGCTGAACCAACACATTGTGATGGTCTTTATTTAGTTTAATCTTAACCAAGCCACCATTTCTTATATGAAAATAAAAGTGTCGTTGTCAGTGAGACATCAGACCTAACCACTCCTAACATTTGTGTGAGTCCTTAAAAGGCTGGACCATGTTTGTAAGTCTGGATTTTGTTTTTCTATAAAGTGGGATTTGAAAAGATGTTCCCTCCTTCCTTGATTTTAACACTAATGTGATATTTATTACTTTAGAAGAGTTTTTTTTTTTTTTTCATCGTAATAGTTTAAAACTTTTGTTTTGAACACAAATACAAATAATTCATTTTGTTTGACAATTTACACCACGGACTTATAGTTGACATACAATAAGACAACCCTTGATGGATACAAGTCATCTATCAAGGGTTGTCATATTACATGTCAACCATCAGCTATTCAATATTACAACCTGTGGTAGGATTAGTAGTTGACTAGTAACATGACAACCTTTGATAGTTGACATGTAATATGACAGCTTATGATAGTTGACTTATAACATGACAACATTTGATAGTTGACATGTAATATGACAGCTTATGATAGTTGACTTGTAACATGA